CTAATAAGATAAAAGATTAATAAGTCTTTTCTTTATTTATATAAAAATCGATATAAGATACTAAGGCGATAAAATCGTTATAGTCTTAAAGAAATATAATTATCGAGCTATAGTTATTAAGATATTATATATTAAATATTTTAATAACACTTATTTTCTTATAACTCGAATTACGATAATAATTATCGCTATACTTATAACGATATTCTTATATATTCTATATTTCGATTAGCTTAAATTTTTTAATAACTAACTATTTCTTAATATTAAACTCTAAAAATTAATAGCGTTAGATTTAAATTAAGTCTATAAAATAAGAATCTTCGTTTATAAATAAAAGGTTATTAGATATAACGCTTTAACGATTATTATTTCTATCGATAGTATTATTAGAATTTCTATCGATATTAGAATTAATATTATAATTACTTAATTACGTAATAGATATATTTTAATAAAAGTTATTTATTAAATTAAAAATATCGCTAATTAGTTATAATAGAATATTTCTACTTTATAAGTTAATAGAATTAATTTATAAGTTACTTACTATAATTAAATTAAGTAACTTTATATAAATAAAGTTATTAGAATTATAAAATAGTAAGATCTCTTTTAATAAAACTGCGTAGTAGTTATATAATTATAAAATTTAAATATATAATTAATAGAATAGATAGATTAGTTACTAGATAAATTAATAATTAAAAAAAAAGAAGAAGAAAGAGAATTTATAAGTATTTAAGACTTTATTAAGTATATTAAATACTCGCTCTAGCTATATAGCTTACAGCCTAGCAAATAACGTAAGCGAGTCTATTAATTCGCTTCGAGTACTTTTACTCTTATAGAAGACTTCTATCTTTATTTAATTTAAATTCGTTTAAAAGAGAATAATAGTCTTACTATTAACTTTAATTTATTAATAATCTAATAAAATTATAAATAAAATTATATTAATAATTAGAATTAATTTCTACGCGAAGAATATAGCTATTAAACTAATATTTAAAAATAAATTTTAATAAATTTTAATAACGATTAAATTATTATAGTCGACGCTATTTAAAATATAATATTTTATTTTAATAATTAACTCTTTTTTCTAAATAGCTATAGAGATATTAATAAAATTATATTTTAGAATATTATATTATAAAGAGTATAATATAACTCTAAAATAGTTATTACTATAGCTTTATCTAATATTATCTTTATTCTTTTTTAAAATAACGTTATTACTTATTCTTACTTTAAGATTTCTTTTAATATTATTATTTAATTTAATTATAATATATCGATAGAGTTTAATTTAACTTAGTTATTAAAGATAATTAAGCTTATTTTCTAAAATAAGATCTTTATATAAAATCGCTATAATATTAAGATTATTAATTATATACTCTAAAATATTTAAAAGAACTTTATTTTTTTTAATAATATAATTATATATTTCTATAATAATCTTTATTAAATTCTTTTAATTATTAAGAATATTAAGTTAGATTATATCGCTTAAGCTATATTAAAAGCGTTCTATTTTTAAAATTATATTTAAATTCTTAAGTTTATAGAAAATATAAGACTTCGAAACTTTAATTTAATTAATTAAAATTAAATTAATATAAAGAAATTCGCTTAAAGACTATTAGATATAAATAATAAGAAGCTATCGATTAATCTATTAAGTAATTATTAGATAACTTTATTATTTAGCTAATTAATACTATTTATAATAATCTTAATTTATATTAAATATCTAATTTTTATATATTTAAAATAATTTTTTATACTTTTAATAAGAATATTATTTAATTTAATAATTAAGTTCTTAATAAGTTTTTTAAAATTAAGATTATTTATAATAATAGAAATTAAGTCGTTAATAAGAAAGATAGCTTTCTTCTATTTACTAAAATAATAAATATCTTTAAATTAATTTTACTTCTACTCTATTATTTAAAGTTAAAATAAAATTATATAATAATATTATTAAGAAATTTAAAGTAGTATATAAGTCTATATAATAGAATATATTTATAAATTAAATATATTAAATCTAAGATATTCGATTATTATATTTTTAGAGATAAATATAATAATAAATAATATTATATATTATATATTCCTCTAGCTTCGTCTAATTTAAACGATTTATATACTCTCTTTTAATATATTTAATTTTTAATCTAATTAATTTTTAATATAATAATTAATAAATTTTAAGATTAATTATTATAGTAGATTAGCTTATATTTATACTTCGAGATCTTTACTTATAATTAATTATATATAACTTTAAGTTAAGTTATTAATAAGATCGACTTATTAATTATAATTTTAAGCGATCTATTAAAAAGATAATTTACTTAATTAATAAGATATATTAAAAATAAGATTATTAAGTAAATACTTCTTTTTTAAATAAAGATATAATTAGTTAGCGATCTATAATAATAGAAATAAGCTATTTATTATATAGAAAGTAAATAAACTTTAATTTAACTTAGAATTAGAGCTTTTATCTTCTTTATTAAAAATTTTATAATAGTAGAAGTAGATTAAAAACGTATAGTAAGCGATTAGAGTTTAATTTAATTTAGAACTAAAACTAAAATTTCATTTAACTTAGAAAAATTTAACTTTATAAATTTAATTTATAAGTCTTTACTTATTAAAAATACTTCTTTAAAAAGTAATTATATTAAATTCTTTTTACGATATATTATAAAAATTTATTAAAATTCTTTTAGAATTAAAACTATATCTCGTAAAAGTATCTTTAAATCTATATCTTTAAGATATTGTTAAGAGCAGCCTCTATAGAAGCCCTACGACGTCCCTATAGAGGCCTTACGGGGTTCTATTTAGATCCAAATAGAGATATCTGATTATCAAGCGCAGACACTTCCAAAACTAGCTTTTTTAGCTGAGTTGCTAACAATAGTGTCTACGCTTTATTTCCGAGTCGATTATAGCCTAAAGAATTTAGCTAGCCACCTCGAAGTGATACTAGTTATAGTCGGGGGTAACACGCTTAGTCTATTGAGGGTCGGGGGTTCGAGGACGCTTGGGTCTCTCATTAAAAAACATTTAGAAATTTAATTCTTTTAGAGGGTCGCTCGGGTAAAAGTCACGCCGGAGGCGGGCCCCGAAGCCGAATACTTTCAGGCAGGACGCCCTATACAAATGAGATTTTCGGGCAGAACAGCTCTATTCTAATGAGGACATTTCGGGCAGAACAGCCCTATTCCAATAAGGACATTTTTCGGGCAGAACGCCCCAGGGCAAAAAGCCCAAGCAGACGCCCGGGAAAGAAACCCCGAGGCCGGCCAAAATAGGCCTTTGATTTATGTGCGCTAAGGCGGGGCCACAGGCCCGGAATACAGCCCCATTCCCACATTATACCGGTGCGAAGGCGGGGCCAAAGGCCTTTCACTTGGTAGCCCCGTGGGCAAAAACCCCAGTGGCAAATTTCAAGCCCCGCAGATGAGCGGGCATTTAGAAGTCTTCGGGGGAGTAAACCCCGGAACACAGGGCATGTTGTCCTTAAGATCGTGAATCTTTCGGGGAGTGAGTCCCCGAAACGTTGCGATTTTTGCACCTTCTTCGGAGCTCGAGAACAAGCCCCCTAGAGGGGGAGGCATTATTAGAAGCAGCCCCTATAGAGGCCCTGCGACGTCCCTACAGGGGCCCTATGGGGTCCTATTTAGGTCTAAATAGGGATGTCTGACTGTCAAGCGTAGACACCCTCGGAACTAGCTTTTTTAGCTGAGTTGCTAACAGATATTAAAAGAGAGTTTAATAAGATTAAAATCTAATAAATAGAGAGATAGATATTAGACCTCGTAATTATACTAACGAATTATCTTCTTAATATAAGAATTATAATATATATTAATATTATTTATAATAATAATACTATAATAAGTTAAGAAGATATTATAATAAGATAATTACTTATTAACTAGCTATTAAAAGAAAGTCTATTATAAGATATCTTAGAGATACTTATAGAGTTACTAGCGTAGGCTTAATATCGTATATATCTACTCTATAGAATAATTAACATCTTTATATTATATTATATATATAAGTTATATTATATTATTTCTTAATAAACTCTTAATATTATATTATTTTTTCTTAAATTTAATATAAGATAGATATTTATTTATTATATACACTAAAAGTATATTTTAAAAATACTCTCTTCTTAAATTTATATAATATTAATTATTTTAATTAATAAGAGTATAGACTTTATATCGCTAATTTATAAATTTATTAAATAGAGTTTTATTTATAAAGATTAGCTACTTTATAATTATATAAAAAAACTTCTTAATCTAATATAAGCGAAGCTTCTTATTCTATTAATATTCGATTTTTTAATTAATTTTCTTATTTAAGCGCTTTCTCTTAAGAGTTCTTAATATTATAAACTAATATATAAATAAATCTTACTTCTATTAAAGAAACTAGACTATCTCTTTTTATATAGTCTATAATTAATCTTCGAGATATTTAATAAGAAAGTCTTCGACGATTAAGTAAAGCTTATAAAGAGTATTTTTAAAATAAAACTATAATTTATAGATCGAGTTATATATAAAAAGATATTCTTAAATATTATAAATCGTTTATATATAGTAATAAACGTTTTAAGTAATAATATTAAATCTTTAATATAGAAGTAATAAATAAATAATTTTAGATCGAATAGATAGAGATAAATCTCTTCTATTAATCGTTATAAGAGATATTTTAAAATAATAGAAATTAATTAAGCGAGATATATAGAAGTTTTAATTATAATAAGAAAGATAATAGAATACGATATGGGAGAAGATTTATCTATTTAGTACTACTTTTGATGATATGTGTGTGATTTTCTCAGTGCCAAGTATTCTAACGTTTTCTGCACACGCTAATATGAATTTGTAATTTGCCCTATGTTAGAATGTCTCCAACTGACTCAACTTATCACGTTCCATCCATTACTCCTCCACTTCTTTAAGAGCGGTTAGGACGATATCGTACAAGCGTCCCGACCTGATCGACTCGTAGACCCGCGTATTGTACAGCCCAATACTCGACGTGATACCGTCCAGCGTCACGGCCTCGGTTGACGCCAGGTGCTCCTCGCCCAAGAACGGAACGCCGAGGTCCTCTCTAATGAAGCGGTACATGCGCTGCGAAGTCGGGCTAATGTACGGGGTCGCGTCGGGCGGGGCGTCCTTCCGGCCCTCGATCTCTATCGAGCGTAGGTCGAGCGCCTGACACAGCACCATGAGGTGTGCCGAGGCGATCTGGGACAGCACGTCGACGGCCTCGAGCGTATAGCGGGCGGAAATAAGCGCTAGGGAGTTGAGAGACTGGTTGCCCATTTCGGCCGTCTGCACATGCGACCCGACGGGGTTGGCCAGAAAGCCCAACTCGGACGTTAGGCCGGCAACGACGACGTCGAGCCCCTTGAATAGGAACGAGTCGTTAGCGTCGTCGGAGCATAGATTTGGCGGCAGGCCCCAGCTGGTAGTCGGGTTGATCATCTCGGTACACTGGGCGAAAAGCATACGGCCGATGCTCTGTAGGCCCTGGCGCAGCTTCTCGGCCGCTGACGTGACGGCGCGCCCCTGAAAGTTACCGCCGTGGAATACGCGGCCTGTCGCCGTTTCGATCAGCGGGTTGTCCGTCACCGAGTTTAGCTCGATTGTTAGCTGGTCGTGCGCCAGACAAAAATCTTCCAGCACCGGGCCGATCCACTGGCTGGCCGTACGTATCGAATAGCGGTCCTGCCGTAGCGTCGCCTCGTTCTGGCTATCGTGCCGGTTCAGCAGCTGCGACCCGCTAAGGAACGCTTTGATAGTCCGTGCACTATCTACCTGCCCAGGGTGCGGCCGCACTTGGGCAATGAACGGCTCGAAGCTCTCGTCACTGCCACGCAGCGCCTCCACGCTCATCGCCGTCAGCACCTGCGACAGCGCTGCGAGATTAAGGGACTCATACGCCGCGAGAGCCGCTACTGCGGCCGATACAGCCGTGCCGTTAACGATAGCGAGGCCTTCTTTGGCGTGCAGACTGATAGGTGCTATGCCGGCTTCCTCCAGGGCGACATCGGCTCTCGTTACTCTCCTAGCGCCGTCGATGTCCCGTGGACCAGCGGAAGCCGTAGCGGATGACTTGCCTTGCATCACGGCGCCGATCCACGCGAGCGCGCTGAGGTCCCCCGACGCCGAGATGCTCCCACGGACGGGAATCCGTGGCACGACATCCTTATTCAAAAGGTTGACCAGGGATTCCGCGATGTCGACCCGAATGCCCGACGCACCACCGGAGAGGGAATTGAGGCGGATGATCATAGACGCCCGCGCCCATGACTCCGGCATGCAGGTAGCGGCGAGCGGGTCATTTAGCGGAAGCGATATTTTTACCAGCGTGCGGTGTCGTTGTTCTTTCAGGTCCTTGCTGGGCTCGGCCACGCTATTACTTTGGCTAGGATGGGTAACGCCGTTGCTTTGGTCAGGATGGGTTACGCCGTTGCTTCCATTGCTTTGGCCAGGATGCGTCACACCGTTGCTTTGATATAAATTTGTATTGCTCTCCAGGACGGGCTGCTGCTTGCCGTCCGCAACGATTCCGCACGTCAGATGACTGATCAGGCTCTGCTGGACCCTCTCAACGTCGTTGGATCTCGTATCAGCGCTGCCCCCGAATCCCGTATTGACGCCGTATATGATATTGCCTTTGGCGATCTTCTCTGGGATGATCTTGCTGCACACTTCGATGGCGTTAATGGACTCGGATGTGAGCTCAACATGTTTTAATTGTCTCGAGACTTCCACCACATCGGCGATGGTCAGACTCCTTCCGTCAACGGCCAGAGTCGCCTTGGTGGGCAATGAAGGATCACGCCATTGTGAGAGGAGTAAATCTGTGAATGAGGGCATGAAAGGGGCCATGTTGATCTAGAACAAGGCGGGCAATTAGAAATCCAAGGGAAAGGGGGGGATGATGAAAGTACCTTTGTTCTACATCCTTTTCCACTTGAAGATGGCAGTTTATAATATTTATCAAAGACTTCAACTGCTTAGAAGCGTCATCGCAAGTACCATAAGTAACTGTCACATCCGAGCCGGCTTTCCCCTACTTTGCATAACTAGTTTCATGAAGGAATCGATCGGTGAACGAGTATATCAGCCGCCAGGAGCTGGCAGGAGAGTGGGTCAAATGTCCTGTATGCGCCACAAAAGGCTTGATCCTTGGGCTTAGCCTGTTTACGCTCCCATACGTATCTCGGGCTTCTCCCACATCATATAGAGAGAAGGTAAGCAATCCTTTACATGCCCACATTGTCAGCGTGTCTAGTTCCTTCTATGCATGCGTCCTTCCTACATCCTTCCATCCTTCCATGCATATTCCATTATTATTCCTTTCATGTATTTGGCCATAGATAGCAGTGCTTTATTCTCTATCAGCTATATAATAGCTGATGGCCCTACTACTAAATCTACACGCTTTCTATTATTATTACTACTATACTACGCTAAGAGATTATAAACTTTCGATTAATATTAATAATATATTAATATTTCAATTATATTAATTTTTAAAAAATATATATATACGTTCTTCTAGCTATAATAAGTAAATTAAAATAAAAAGATAGTAAAAATTAATAGTCTATTATATTTATATTAGAGAAGTTATAGTAATTATATAATTAACGAATTAAGAAGATAGAGATAAAGTCTAAATAGTTACGATTTAAGAGAATCTTTAAATTCGCTATATTCTTATTAATAGTTAATATCTCTATATTTAAAAGAGTATTTAATTAAAATCGCTAATATTAAATAATATATAATTACTATTAGATAATTAAAATATACTTAATTCTCGCTAAAATATTAATTTAGTTAGAAGAGAATAAAGAATATAATAAATAAAAGTTCGCTAACTTATAGATTAAAGATAATATTTATATATCTCTTAAATTAGATAATTATATTTATATTCTAGATATTTAAAATATCTATAATATAATTAAATTATTTAAAGATATATATAAATTTAAAGAATATATCTTTTATAAAATATTATAAAGAATTATTAGTTATATAAGCTTAATTAATTATAAAGAAGTTATTAAATATATTAAGATAATTAAAAAGACTAAAATAAAACTCGCTAAGTTAAATTATTAATATACGTAAAAGATTATAATATTCTTTCTTTATAGACTTCTCTTATTTTATAAATCTTTTATAAAAATTATCTTAAATAGTCGAGATAAAGACGTTAGAGAAAGGCTATTAAAATCGAATTTCGATTATATTATTAAATAACTTCTTAATAGAGAACGTCGTTAAAAATTAATTAATATTAACGACTTTAATAGTAAAGCTATATTTATAAATAATAAGAATAAAAGAAATAATAAAGATCGTAATAATAATAATAAAATTACTTCTAGATTTAAATATAATAACTATAACTTTCGCTATAGTAAAACTTACTAGCTATCTAATCTCAATTAAACTTTCGCTAAGTAAGTTAAAAAAAATAAGAATTATATTAAAGAATTTAAGAAGAAGAAGAAGACTAGTAAATTTATCTCTATCGAATTTATTAAAAAATTAAAAATAGTAAAGATAATCTATATAAAGACTATTACGATATTATATAACGATAACTAATATTTCGATAATATAGTCTTATTTTATATAATATATTTCGAAGCCTATTTCGTTAAGAAATTAATATCTCTCGAAAATTCTATATTAGTTAAAACTCTTAATAAAAGGATATTAGAAGCTACTATAGTCGATAATACTCTATTAAAAACTCTTATTAAGAATAAGAATAATAAGAATAAAGAATATTTATTAATACTAGTAAATATTTACTATATCGACGATCTATTTACTATATCGACGATCTATTTATTAATCTACTCTCTTTAGATATATTCTAATATAACGATCTTACTTATACTAGTAAGAGAAATTATTTTAAAGTCTATAATAATAATAACGATATTATTCTTAAGAGAGAATTAATAAATATACTTTATAAGCTAAGACTTATATTATTTAAAGCTATAATAATTAAAGAGATTATTATAATCGCGATTATTAGAAAGACTAATTATTATAAGATAATAGCTATTAAATAATATTAAGTATTAAATTATTTAAACTTTAATAATATTATTAGACTATCTATTATAATAGAAAAAATAGAAATTATAGATAATATTAAAAGATAATTTTATAAATTATATATATATAAAAAATAGAAGAAGATCTTAGATTATAAACTAATAATTAAGATAGAAAATACTTTTAATAGTATTTATATAGATTATGAAAATATAAGATAAGATACTTAGTTATTAACTGTAGAGTTACTATAAAGAAAAGAGCGACTAGATATAAATACGCTAAGGCGTATCATGTAACCATGTTACGTAACCGCTAAGAGTTACGTAACTCGAATTTCAATACTCCCCTTCGCATATATTCTCTTATAGGCGAAATCTAGTAAATATAAAGCTTAATACTAATAGGGTCTAAAATCGGGTAGATAAGATAAAATAACTTAGTTAATTTTTATTAAATTATTAAAGTAAGACTAGCGTTAGATAATTAAAGTGAAATCTAAGCTAGATAATTAAAGTGAGTTAGCGCCGGATAGCTAGCGTGAAGATATATCTTCTATACCCCCTTTATCTCTATTTTCTTATACGAACGAAATTGAAAAATATAAGATTTAAAGTTCGCGACGTCTAAAATAGAGTAGATAAGATGAAAAGTCGAAATCTGAAAACGACTATATTAAACTAGTCCCCTATTAAAATTCGATCTAAATTCCACTTTTTATTAAAAAGCGATTTTTCGAAAATTTTATTTTTAGACTATTTAATATATATTAAAAATCGATCGATTCGAGGTCGGAGGATATATATAAGAGTAGCTGAATGAAATAATTGAAAGAAATTCTTCTAGCTATATATCGCTAGCTACTAAGTCCTCTATAAAAATTATTCTAAATATCTAGCCCTTAATAATAGTAACTATAATAGCGGTAATTTGAAAATATAATATCTAAGATATTAGTAATGAATAGATATAGATTTCTTAAAAGAGTCTTAGAAATTTGATAATAATAGCGGCAATAGCGCTGAAAAAATAGCTATTTCGATGTGAATTGACGAGTTCGCTAAGTGTTAAGTCTAATATAGCGACTCGATAAACAACTCGAATAGATTACCCGTAGTGCGGGGACTAATAAAATAACTTTCTTAAAGTAGTTGATAGTAGACGACTTTTCTAAATTCAGATATAAATATAATAGAATAACTCCTCTATTAGATATTATTAAATTAAGACTATATTAAGATAATAGTAAGATTAACGGCTATCGAGGAGGTGAGTAGATATAGCTTTCACCTTAAGGGTATCTCGAAAAGTAACGAATTTATTTAAGCAAAGGGCCTTGATAAGCTTATCAGCCATCTATTTATTAGTAGAAATATACCGTATATTCACAGTGCCATCATTAATCTTTTCCCGTACGAAATGGTGGATAATGTTAATATGCTTAATGCGAGTATAGAACTAAGCGTTCTTTGCGAGGATAATTGCGCTCTAATTATTATCGAAAATAATAGTGGCTTTAAGGTCTATATCGTCGAGGCGAAGAAGTTAATTAAGTAGGTTTTTTAGCTAGATTACTTCTTTAATAGCCTACGTCTAATTAATATACTCTATCTTATAAGTAAATAATACTACGATAGCTTAACGCTTAGATAATTAACTAATCGCGCTGCTTTTTATATTAAAGAGGTAGCTAGATATAGATCTTCGAGTTATATTGCTAGTTCAATCAGAATCGATATAATCGATAAGTTCTTAAAGAGAGCCTTTATACACGAGTTCGTAGTGCACTATACTTCTTAGATATCGAAAGATTCGAATAATCGTATTTTAATACGCTGAAATTAGATTAACTAAGTAGCGACTTATTAATAATACCGCGTAGGCGATATCGGGATAAGTATCGAGTATAATATATATAAGAGATCTTATCGCGAATTAATAGTTCTCTTATAATTTTCTTAGGGCGATATAGCCCTCTTCGGCGGGAGCTAGTTTGCGATTAATTTCGAGAGGCGTCGATATTAAAGTGAGATTTTAATAGTTAAAATAATTTAAGAATTAAGTAATATAAGCCTCTTATCTTAGGCGAAGAATATCGCTATAATAATCTCTCTTAATAGTTATATCTAAGTAGTAGATATATAATCTTAAGTTTAATATATAAAACTTCGCATTAAGACCCTTCTTAATCCGCTAAATTTCGACTTTATTAAAGTTAATAATTAGAATATCGTCGATATAGAGCGCTATAATAGTATTCTCTTTAAGATTTATAAATATACTATTATTTAATTTAATAGAGAGAAGGCCTAGCTTCTTTATATATTTCGAGAAGTATTAATATTAGATTTAAGAAGATTACTTTAGATTATAAAGTGCTTTATTTAGCTTATAAATCTTGATATTATTCTTATTAAAGCTATCGAATTAACGTATATAAATCTCTTTTTTTACGTTATTATATAGAAAGGTAGTTTTAATATTTATTTACTTTAAATTCTAATTTAGAGCGACTATAAGTGCGAAGATCGCCTTATAGCTTATAAGCTTTATTATTAATATGAAAGTATTATAATAATTATAGCTCTTCTATTATTCGAATTCTTAAATAATCTAATATACCTTATAGCGAGTAATTTCTCTATCGAGACCTCGTTTTAAGATATAGACCTATTTATCTCTTAGAATATAAGCCTTAGAAGGCGTCTAAATAAGATATTAAGTGTTATTATCTATAAGAGATTTATACTTATTCTTTATAAAAAGTTTTTAATTTATTCGAAATAGCTAATTAGATA